TGTTTGGGGGAAAAAAAAGCAACCACCTTTTTTTTTTTTTTTTTTTTTTCCCCTCCCTGGGCCACAGAGGGGCTGCAGCCCTATGGGGCTCCCTACTGCAGGGGTGCTCTCACCCCTGAGCCTGGTGGGAGACAGACCTCGGTGGTCCTCAACCTCCTGCTGGTGGAGGGCTGTGCCGGGCCCCTCGCCTTCCCTGTTGGTGCTGGAGTGGGGATGGGGTAGCTCCTGCATCTCAATGAGGAGACAGAGGCTGCTCTTTCTCTTGGTGGCAGGGGATGGGTGGGGGACTGCAAAAGGCCCAAAGAAAAGCCATTCAGTCCCCATGAGAAGGGTTCTCTCCAGACCTCCACACTCTGAAGACACTTTTTTTTTTGAGGGGTTGGGTGGTTAATGAGCTCGTTTCTCCCCTTTGTGTGGCTCTGCCATCAGCCTTCTGTTGCAGCCTGGCCCCTTTCCTCTCCCTCTCCATCCTCCCCCTTCCCTCCACTCCTGATCCGCTGGGAAACTTTCCCATGGAAGAGAGCCCCAAGGGGAGGGGGAGGAAAAAGCTGTGGCAGCGACGTGGCCATAGGAGAAAAGAGGGGGGGGAAAAAAAAAACCAACAACAGACCAGCCCAGGGAGCGGTGACAAAAAGGGACTGTGAATGGAGACGCAGGCAGGGTTTCTAAAGAGTGAGAGAAAAGGCGGCCGTGGGGCAAGGGGGGCACGTCGCCCTGTCGGGGGATTCTCTATTTCCAGCCAGGGCCTGTGCAGTTGCTCAGGCAACTATTGTCTGGCCCCTGCTGGCCCCTGGGGGCTGTGGGGACGTGGGTGCCTGCTGCTGCCCCTGATGTGGTCTCTGCTGGCTCCTCACAGGGTCCCCACTGTCCCCGTGAAGAACCTCACTGGCTCCAGTCCCGTCAACCCAGCACTGGCAGGTGAGTATGGGGCTGGTGTCTGCAGGTGCTGGAGGAAGTCAGCCCCAGTGGGGTGGTTTTTTGGAGAAGGTCTGGGATGATGCTGGTTCCTCAGTGCCATTTTGAACCACCTCACCTAGGGATCACGGGGATCCTGATGAGCGCAGCCGGGCTGCCCGTCTGCTTGACACGGCCCCCCAAGCTGGTGCTGCATCCCCCGCCTGTCAGCAAAAGCGAGATCCAGTCCATCCCTGGCATCTCCCACACCTGCCGCAAGACCACCAAGAAACAGGCCAAGAAGGGTGAGAGGCACTTTGCCACTTGGCCCCTGTTCTTGTCCCCCCTTCCCTGCCTGGTTCCCCTGCTCCTCCTGTCCCCTCCCGCTGCCCCCAACAGTGGGTGGCCTCCACGCTGCCCTCCAGCTCCTGTGACTTTTACTCTCTCACAGGTAAAACCCCGGAGGAGGTACTCAAAAAATACTTGCAGAAGGTGCGGCATCCACCAGATGAGGTGCGAGCAGTGGGGTGTCCCTGGGGTGCTTTGCTCTGGGAAGTGAGACTGGGGACATGGGCATTGCGCCATGCAGGGTTATCCTGCTACCCCTCATGGCTCTGCCCTGTCCCTGTTCCCTCTGAAGAGGGGCTGTGTGCCACTTGCATGTGCCTGCGGTGGCCCAGGGTGATGGCATGGGACCAGGGATGGGTGCTGATCCCTGGGCAAGAGCAGGGCAGCTCATCAGCCCTGTGTCCTTGGTGGAGGCTCCAGCTGCACCCGTCCATCTGACTCCTCCCTTCTGTGCAGGACTGCACCATCTGCATGGAGCGCCTCTCCGCACCCTCTGGCTACAAGGGACCCCAGCTGGCCATCAAGCCTGACCTGGTGGGAAAGCTGGCGAAATGCGGCCACGTCTTCCACCTCCACTGCCTGGTCGCCATGTACAACAACGGCAACAAGGTGCAAAGCTACAGAGCAAGGGATGCCTGAGCCCACGGCGCTTGGCAACCTCCACCTGCCCTCGTAGGGACAGTGCTCAAGTCCTGCTGCCCTGGAGGGTTCTGACCTCCCTGCCCTGATGGAGAGTTTAATTTTTATCAGCAGCAAGCACTCTGGGACTACTAAGTCAGAATCCAGGGTTGTGTAGGTGGTTTCCACCCCATCCCCATTTTTACGTCCTTGCTTTCCTTCCCAGGGTTACTGGTGGTGATCTTTGATCCCTGCATGTTTGAGCAGAGCTATCTGGCACTGGACTGTGCTTTTCCAGCCACAGGTGGGCGTTCTTGAGCCCCCTGAAAATGGCTCTTGTGCTCGACATTCACAGGAAAATGTGTTTCACGTTGCTTGGTTTTTTTTAATATTTATTTGTCTTTCCCTCTTTGAAAAATAAACAACCCCAAAACAGAGGTAGAGAAAGTAGCAAGGACCATAAAACTGATGAGGAAGAGAAATGCAGACCTCAATTTTTTGGTTACAGTTATGTCTCTGTAGCAAATTCTTCCAGCCCTACCCCCTGCTTCCTGAGTGTTTTTGAAGTGACTGCTTTCATAATGGAAATGGCGTTCAGTGCTGCTCAGGGACGAAGTGCCCAGTCTGGCTCAGTGATGGAGGATACGGGTTTCATTATGTTCCTCTCTTTTCCTGCTCTCAGGATGGGAGCCTGCAGTGTCCCACCTGCAAAACCATCTATGGAGTGAAGACAGGGACACAGCCCCCAGGGAAGATGGAGTATCATATCATCCCTCACGCACTGCCTGGCCACTCTGACTGCAAAACCATTCGCATCATCTACAATATCCCCCCAGGAGTGCAGGTACAGCCCAGCCCTGTGCCCAGGGGGTACGTGGGTGGTCCCGTGTTGGGGCTGGTGGCCCTTGTCACTGCTGCATTACCCCTGGGTCATGCTGCAGCTCATGCTTTGACTTAGGGCTCCGGATTCAACAATGTCTGGGGAGTTGTGTCCATAAGTGTGTTGTGGGAAGTCTGGGGTACGTCTACATGAAAGCGTTGGCCCTGTCTGCTTGGTGACAAAGGGGACAGTGGTGGTCAGGGCCACTAAGTTGGAGCGTGGCCGCCCAGCACAGCAGCTCTACGTCCACTGAGGCTGGGGGGTTACCTTGTGCCCAGAGCATCCTTCCAAGCTCCAAAAGGGTTTTTTTCTTCTTACACTCCATGCACTGCAGGGACCGGAGCATCCAAACCCCGGGAAGAGCTTCACTGCCCGTGGCTTCCCCCGGCACTGCTACCTGCCAGACAGCGAGAAAGGCAGAAAGGTGAGGGGCTCACACGGGCAGCTCAAGCTGGCCAAGGCATGCTCAAGGGGGAGAGGGAATAAGCAGCTATTTGGAGCATGGAGAAAAGCAGATGGGGTTTATGCAGGGAAATCTGGATACAGGTCTTCCCTGAAGCCCATCTGGCATGCTCTGCAGGAGCCCGGTGATGTTCCCATGCACTGGGGGAGCTCTGCAGCCTCGTCCCACTGTTTTGGTTGGAGTAGGACCCTATGCTGGGATCCTGAGCAAAAGTGGGTGCTTCCCCCCCCGAGCATTTGCCCTGCTGCCTGCCCTATCTCTCCCCTCCACAGGTACTGAAATTGCTGCTGGTAGCCTGGGACCGGCGCTTGATCTTCGCCATCGGGACTTCGAGCACCACAGGCGAGTCCGACACAGTGATCTGGAACGAGATCCACCACAAGACAGAATTTGGCTCCAACCTCACTGGCCATGGCTACCCTGACATCAACTACCTGGACAATGTGCTCGCTGAGCTCGCGGCCCAGGGCATCACGGAGGAGAGCCTGGCACAGGAGAAGGACTGAGACCATGGAAGGGGGACAAGGGAAGGGGCACCAATGTCCCCACCCCCAAGGATAAAGCTGCTGGAGAAACCCCCCTGGGGGGTTTGCAGGGGGCTCCTGGAGCCTCCCGCTCCCGGTGGCACCTGCCCAGTGGGAGGGTCCCCAGGCTGGAGATGTGGGAGAAGGTCCTTTTGACCATCCCCTTCGTTCCATGGGTAGAGATCCTCCCTCCATGGAGCCGCGGGGCTTCACACTGGCCTGGCCATTTTGGCCAGCTGATGTCCTATCCCTGCTGCTGCCATGCTGAGGACTTGGGGGTTTCCTCTCCTTCCTCATCCATCCAGCAGTCCCAGACTGGCCTGGTGCCCCTTGACAGCCACTTGGGCTGGGAGTGGAGGTCACGGGAGTCCCCCTCGCTCCGCCTCATCCCTCAGCCGTTTGTTCATTCGTTTGTCCTGTCTGGTACCTCCCCACTGGTCTCCTGTGTCCACAGAGGCTGGGGGTGCCCTGTCTCCATCAGCTCGCCCCCCAGTCCTGTACCCCCTTCTCCTCTTGGCTGTGTCTGAGCTGTGCCCTGCAGGATCCCCTTGTCTGGGCTGCCCCCCCGCATCAGGGAGGGGGCTGTGGGTGGTAGGAAGTTGGGGGTGAGGGGGTGGGGCATGTTTACTGGCCTGTCTCCCACCCCACCTGTAGTGGGTTCCTTGAACTGTTCGTATGGGGGTGTCCCCGCGTTGAATTTTTATATACCTCATGTTTTGGGGTTTTGTCGTATATATGTACATATAGTGGTGGTGTTTTGGGAAGTGGCCCTGGGGGCTGGGAGAATGTGATGCTGTGGCCAGACTGGGGACTGAGTCCAGTGACACCCTGGGGGGAGGCGGAACAGGGGCAGCTCCACTCCCCTATGGTAGGGACCCCTCCCAACCCCAGAGTGGGGCTGTCGCCTCTGGGTCCCCATGGGGCCAGGCGCAGGTGTGCTGGTATCCGTTCCCCTTCCTGCTGGGTCCCAGCACCATCCCCAGAGGTCCCTTGGGGGGGACCCTGGGGAGCTGGGGGGAGGTGGCTGCTGGCGGTGGGTTGTCACAGCAGTTCTGGGCTGGGGGGGTTGATGTGGGGAGGGGAGTGCGGGTAACAGGGGCAGGGGAGGGGTTGTTGGTTGTTACATGGCATTTTGGGGTCCCTGCCAGCCTCTGGGGGGGACTTCATAGGGGCCCTCTCAGAGCCGCTTGTGATGGGGTGCCAGGGAGATGCCCACAGCCTTCGGGGCTGCCTGGGGGGCTGGCTGCACTCATGCCCCTGTCCTGTGAGACCCCTGAGGTTGGAGAGTGGAGTCGGGGGCAGTGCCCACCACTGTGCAAGCTGCCCCAGACCTGTACTGTTGCTCCCCGGGGGACTGGGGCCTCCTGGCCCATTTCATTGCATTCCCTTCCCGGTTTTCCTGGGGGAGTCACCTCACCCTCTGTCCCAGGGGATGGCGGTGTGGGAGGGCAACCTGTCCTGCTGTGCACCGTTCTGTTGTTGTCACTGTTTTTCCTCTCCCCAGCCTGGGAGGCACGTTGGCCCCAGCTGGCTGCCCCATGGGGAGGGGGGAAGGGGGGGGGGAGGTCAATAAAGCGGATGGCAGGGGACACTTGCTGTCCCTGCATGGCCTGGCCTCTCTGTTGTCTTCTGTCCGTCGTCTGTGTGGCCAGGCGAGTGAGGTGGCACCATGGGGAGGGCTAGGCACCTCTCATCCCCCTGGTGCCCCTTTGCACCAGTCTGTCCCCAGCTGTCCTTAGCATGGGATGTTACTTTCTACCTCAAAGGAGAAAACCTCTTTCTCCAGGAAAACCCCTTTTCGGGCAGCTCTGCAGCTGGGGAGCTTCAGGAGTGTGATTTCTCCTCCACCGGAGCCCTGGGATTCCCGCACTGCAGAAAAACCCTGGCTGGAGCTATGCAAAACCCTCCCGTGATCTGAGGGAGGAAGGGGGTTCCCTTGCCCTCCCCAGCTGCCCGCCTGACATCTCTTAATGTGACACAGTCTTTACACAATGATTTTATTTTTTTTTTTTCCTTTTTAATGCTGTGTTGCCTACGCAATTAGTTGCTGGCTGAAATAAAACTGATCCGTGCCTCTCTGCATGCGTGTGTATATCTATCTCGATAGATATACATGGAGACAGGGGTTGCCCTCTGGTTGCTGTGGGCAGGAATCGGTGGCTAACTCTGGGTGTCCCCACAGGACCCCTCTGCTCCCTCCTTTCCTGTGAGGCAAAGCCTTGCTGAGGGCCTCTCTGCTGGCACTGGGTGCTTGCAGTAGCTGGGGAGCTCTCTGGGTTTGGAGGGCTGGGGGCTCTTTTCCCAGGCACTGGGCCCCAGCTTGCATCCCCACCCAATGTTCTTATAAGTACCAAGTCTCCACTGTGCTTGAGTCCCACTGGTGTTCCTGTGTGTCAGGGGAGGGGTTTCCACAGCTTCCCCTGGCTTTTTGGGGCTACCCTTGGGGGGGGAAGAAGGTGGCTGCGCTCAGGATTTCATTCTCCTTTGGCTCTCCAGTGGCTTGTTGAAGAGCCCTAGGTCCCCCTGTCTGGTTTTGCAGTGGTGGGGACAGCTGGGGCATGGCTTGCAGTGGAAGGGAAACTCACTTATCTCTGAAGGGGCAAAGCTGCGGCACTGCTTGGAGCGGGGAGATGCAACCATGGAGGTACAGGGTCTGGCAGAGGGAGATCATGATGGGTCCTGATGATGGGTTGACCCTGGGGGTTGGCCTCTGAGGTCAGTTGGGGAGGGATGTCTGAAGGGCCATGGAGTCTCCATGGAGCTGGAGACCGGGGATCTGATGGAGGGCAAGAGCATGTGTCGCCCCATGGAGGGGAGAGCCTGGGGTGTCTGGGAACAGGGACTTTTAGCTGCGGGGCGGCGAGGGCAGGGGGCTGGTGCTGCTGCCTAGCTTTGTCCCTGGAAAGGGGGGTGAACAGGGGGCTTTGCCTGGGTTTGGGGCAGAAGGCGTTGCCTGGCAACTGCAGGGAGCAGGGAGGGGGAATTTTACGCCATCAGCCCCTCCGACTCTTGCTGATACCCCTCACCCACACTCAGCACAGTGCTGTCCTCGGGCCCTGCAGCAGCCAGGCTGTCCCCTTCACCCACTGTGTGATACCCCCTCGCCTTGTACCTCCGGTGGCTGTAGCAGACCGTTGCCAGGATAGTGGCCAGCCCTGCCAGGACTGCCGCAGTGACGCCCGCCACCTCACCCCCTGTCAGCCCCCGGCCCCTCACCATCTCTGCTGCGTGCTGGACCTCTTCTGGTTGTGCCAGCCGCCACGCGTGGCTCTGCCCATCCCTGACCCAGGCGTTGTCCCCATCCCCGCTGCTCACCAGCACAGTGTCGATGGTCGGTAGGTTGGTGGGGGGCCGGGTGAAGGGTGGCAGGCGGGCGGGCGGCAGTGAGCCCCCTGTGAAGACTCCAGCCTGGACGCAGTACTCCACCTGGCAGCTATCGCTGATGAGCGCCAAGTGCTGGCTGAAGCCTGGGGGGCAGCTCTTGGCATGGGGGTCCTCTGCAGTGCCCTGGTGCCGCCCTGCCAAGGGGTTCCCTGACTGGCAGCTGAAGAAGCCTCCAAAGGGCACTGCGTACTGGCTGCCCTGCTCATAATCCTGGCTCACGCACACCCTCAGCTCATCAAAGAGCTTCAGTGGGAAGTACCCTGAGGGGCAGGACTGGGCACCGGTGATGGCGTTGGCGCTGTGGGCACTGAACAGCCCCCCAAAGAGGTATCCTGAATTTGGGGGCACTGGCCCACTCGTAGCACACCAGTAGGCACTGAATTGCACCCGGGAGAGCCAGAAGATGTCCCTGCACTCACGGTGGCAGAAGATGCCCAGGATGCACTTCTTGTGGCACTCCAGATGGCTGTGGCCTTCCTCCCGCTCCTGCACGCCCAGCAGCACTGGAGTGTAGGTGGCGGGGCAGGAGAAAGCCCCAGTAAGGGGGTTCCTCTGCTCCAGCCCCCGGCACAACGTACTGGTGTCAGGGCCGGCCAGCCCAGCACACTCCTGGAAGACTCCCCCAAAGGTGAAGTTGGTCATGGCACCCTCACAGGAGCCGTCGTCAGCATTGGCATGGAAGTTGAAGTTGGGCGATGTGGCATCGGTGCAGCCTGGGTAGGTGTTGAACGTGTAGTAGCGGCGAATAGCCAGTTCCACTCGCCTGGCCAGCTTCTTCACTGTGGGGGTGGGCAACTCTGGCAGGGTGCTGGGGTTGATGAAGAAGTACAGGGGCAACCCCGAGCGGTCTAGAGCCACCAGCTGGTTTCTGATTCCTTCCTGCCAGGTCTTGAGGGTGATGCCTGGGTAAAAGGGGGTCCCACCGATGCTCTCTACTCTGGAGTTGGTGCGGTTCCCCATATACTGCTTGGTGAAGCCAGAGCTGACGTCCAGGGACTCCTCCTCTTTTACACTGATGATGCTGTGGAAGGCAACACCGGCTGAGGCAGTGACAGTGCTCCGTGTGGCCCAGCTGTCCTTCAGGAAGGTTGCCTTGATCTGATCCTCCTGCACCAAGCTGGCTCCGGCGTCCACAGAGGTGATGGTGTGGGTGCCGTAGTTAAGCACTAGCACCTCGGCCAGAAAATCAGCCATCCGTGTCTGGTTGTTCTCCAGGTGGCTGGCAATTGTCAGCAGCTGCTTCTTGAAGCCCTTGTCCAGGACTGCCCCTGGGTTGATCTTGGCAGTGTAAACCAGATTCCTGACTTGCACTCGGGTGGTGACAGCACGGTCTTTCACTTGGTGAGTCTTGGTCCGGTGGAAGTCGTAAGAGAACTTGCCATTGATGGAGGAGAAGAGGGACAGTTCCAGGTTGATGGAGGCGGAGGTGATGCTTTGGTAATCTTTCCAGGACTCGATGATCTCAGAGTTGATGTCCAGGTTGCTCTGCTTGCGAGGGATAGTGAAGATCTCATCTGGGATGATATAAGATCCATCTTCTGTGGTCTTGCACAGTGAGTAGCCTAGGTTGATGACTCTGCCCATATCCAAATTCCTCAGATTATCCCAGCCCCCCCCGGGCAGGACCTCCAGACTTGGGAGCTTCAGGGCCTTCTTGCAGTCTGGAAACCCTGTAGACGAGGAGAGCTCCTGGGACCGCTCAGCTGTTCTCACCCAAGCCACCGACACCCAGGCGAGCAGGACCCCACACAACACCCACCCCATGGCTGAACCGGCGCAGGGCCCTCACCAGGCGTCCGAGCGGTGAGGTGGGAGCTGGGGAAATGAGCTGGCTGGGGGTGCAGCTGCGGGGTGGTTCTTCCTTTTGGGGGTTGAATTAACAAAAGGGAAAGGAGAAGTGAGAACTGATGAATGTGAGAAACAACTGAGCGGAGCTGAGACAAGTAGGTGGGGGCAGAAAGTAGAGATACCTAGAGCTCATTGCCTCCCTGTTGCAAAAGCTCCTTCCCCATGAAACTGCTCTGCTGGGGATGGGGCAGGAGAAATCTCACCTTCAGCACTTCACTGTGCCCAGAGAATTTCACTGTATGAATCTCCCTCGGCCAGTGCCTCAGTGACTCCTCCAGATGAATCCCCCCCCTGCCCCTGGGTGACCCTGGCTCCTTTGTGCCATGCAAGGGACCTGTCCCTGGTCTCACTGCCTTGGGGTCCTGCTCCCATGATGGGGTGCCATCTGGCCCTTGTTGCATAGGCTTTGCTGCTGACTCTAAGGGTTTCCTCCATGTCAGAGGTGAGGAGAGGAAGCAGGGAGGTGGTGCAGTGTGGTTTCAGTGTGGGGCACAGTCCAATGCTTGTCTCCCTTCTCGCTGGGAGAAGAGGCTGCCCAAGACTCTGGGGCAGACACAGATGGGTTTGGAGGTTTCCCCCATGATGGCCAGCTTATGGCACAGGTGTCCCCCCCCGCCATACCAACATCTGCATTAGGGCCCTCTCTAGCTTCCTCTACCCCACCCCTGTCCTTACCCCAGGGCCTGCAGTTCCCCCAGCTGGGAAAAGCACCTCCTGCTTGAGGTTGCTGGGCCACGGGAAACTGGTCCCAGTGCTACTGAGCCAACTCTGCCCAGTGATGCTGGTGTGTGGCTGGGCCGTAGTTTCAGCAGCACATGGCAGCTACTGTGGGTTTTGGGGAATAAACAGTTAAAGCAGCTTCTGCTGTGAAAGCTGTGACTCTTTCCATATGGACAGACTCACTTCCCCTATTTTCACTTGTTTGTTCCTCTTCCCAGGGCAGTTCTGGCATGGGACAAAGCTGAAGCGAGAACTCTGATTGGGGGGTTGGGGGGGAGAGGAATAGATGTATGCGTGTTTTTGCTAGGATAACACCAAAAGCTGGGGGTAATGGATGGCAGAAGCATGGCTGGGGATGGTCTTGGGGCTTTGGCCTGGAATATCTGGAAAATGCTGGTGTGAGGAGCCCCTTCTGGAGGCTCCCACACCAACCTCAAGCCATCTGCATTTCAGACTAGGCTGTGAGATCACCTCAGCTAAAATCCAGCCATGGGTTTCACTGCCACCCAACTTTGAAGCCTAAGCAGTGGCCCGGGTGGCAGAGAGCCATGGCCAACGATGACTGTGGCCCCTGGGATCAGAGGAGGGGAGAGAAGCCCTGTGGCTGTGGGGCAGACAGGAGCTGCCTTGTCTCTCCATCACGCAGGAGCAGCTCCCAAACAGAAACCAGGGATTCCCCATACTGTGTCTGCTGCTGTGAGCCATCCCATCCCATCCCATCCTGCGGTGACTGATGTGTGGCAGAGCAAGGCAAAACCTGTCATAGAATCATAGAGAATTATAGAATCATATAGGGTTGGAAGATCATCTAGTCCAACCCTCCCACTGGAGCAGATCTACCTACAGCACGTTGCACAGGAACTTGTCCAGGCGGGTTTTGAATGTCTCCAGAGAAGGAGATTGCACCACCTCTCTGGGCAGCCTATTTCAGTGCTCTACCACTCTCACAGTAAAGAAGTTCCTCCTCATGTTTAGGTGGAATTTCTTATACTCAAGTTTGTGCCCATTTCCTCTTGTCCTGTCACTGGGTACCACTGAGAAAAGACCAGCCCCATCTTCCTGACACCCACTCTTTAAGTACTTGTCATGTCCACCACTCTCAGCTGGGGGGCATGAGCAAACTGAGGGTGGTGAGACACTGGAACAGGTTGCCCAGGGAAGTTGTGGATGCCCCATCCCTGGAGGTGTTCAAGGCCAGGCTGGATGTGGCCTTGAGCAACCTGCTCTAGTGGGAGGTGTCCCTGCCCAGGGCAGGGGGGTTGGAACTAGATGATCTTTGAGGTCCCTTCCAACCCGAACCATTCTATGATTCTATGATTCTATGAAATGTTGAAGTGGGAGACAAGCCATGCTCACCAGTTGGTGGGTACTGTGAGGGGAGGCAGAGAGCCCTGGGCAGGGCTGCTGCAATGGTCCTGAGGGTGAGGACAGGGAAGCGAGGGAGGACAGCCACCAGTGGAGCTGCAGGTGCTGGAGCAGGAGGGGGAAATGTGGTTTGGACCTCCCTCTGAAAACAGCAGAGCCATGAAATGCTTGGGGCCAGGCAAGGGGCAGGACCTGCTGCTCGTAGCAAACCACAGCACTCCGGGAACCCAAATTAGGCCTGGGGTGGTTGGAGGCAATGTAAAACCTTTTTGCTGTTGCTTCAGGGCTGCTGGGTGCCAGGGCTGACTTCTAGCCCCATTGCTGGGTCTGGTGGGGACCCTTGGCCACTTGAGTCCAAGCTCCAAGGACACAGCACCTGAGCACACCAGCCTCGTGCATCATCATCATGCCAGGGCTTCCTGTGGACTGGGATTCCCTGCAGTTTTATAGCCTCCTCCTGCCACTTGTGTATCCTCCTCCTGCTGCTTGTTCCCAGCCCTGGGAAGCCAAGAATACATAAAGCTGGGAAGGCGGCACAGTTAAGTGCTCTGGCTGTAAAAAGTGGGTGGCCTTAGAAAAATGCCCAAAGGCTACTAATAAATATATCAGTTTGTAGCAAAGTTCCTGGTGGGAGGAATTAGACGTTGTTACTCAGTGAACAGGAAAGCCACAGATTGTAACCACTGAGCAATATGAGCCTAAGTGCTTGCGGGGATCACCCAAGACTCTCCTTAAACCAGAAAAATATGAGGTATCCTGTAGCCACCAGGGCTTGTGCCAGCCAGCGGTTAGTTGCTGACTTGGATCTGCTCAGCACCAAAGTGTGGAAATTGCTTAGGATTGATGAAAAATGGTGTATATATCATGTCAATAAATAGAGAGTCTCTATATGTGCCCCCACACATACAGATATTTAAACTTTTCTATGCTATGCAGAAACCTGAAAGGGGAGGGGATACTTTGACAAGAAACAACCCTTTTGTCCTCATTGTTGTTTTATTTTAGGCAAAGCTTGGAGAATCTTGTCACAATGAGAAGCAGAGAAATGTGAGTTCAAAAGCTATCAAAATTAACTATGTTTTCAGTGTTGTTCCTTTTTCCAGCTGTGACTATTAGCAGTTGGTAGAGGAGGGGAGCCAATTTGTGGATTTCTGTGGAGAAAGTGGGACTGAGCAATTTTGCGAGCTCTGTGCCCAGCACATGTCCTGATAAATGAAAGAGACAAAGTGGGATGCAGATGCAGGTATGACTTGAGTGGTTTTAAGTGTGGTCCCGGCTGCTTGATTTGATTAATGTCTCTGTATTAAGATAGTCACTTTATCCAGTGTCAAGACCTGCCTCCTAGAGACACTCAAACTCAAAGCACCTTCGGATGGAGAGGACCTTTCTCCTGAAAGTCAGCCACAACCTGTTTTTCTACAAGTGATCTGAAATTTTTAGGGCTTTGTGGACCATCTGGACAGGGTCAGATCATTCCCTAGCAGGGTGCTGCAAAAGCAGCAAGGAGCCCAGGAGTCCCCTGGGGACAGTTTCACCGCACCACTGGGACCAGCAATGACCAGCATGCCTTCAGGGCTGGCAAGGGCAGACAGGAGGAGTGAGCATGCCTCACCAGGGGGGACAACAGCATCCAAACCCTGTGGAGCTGAGGCAGGCTATGAAAGGCAAAGGTGGTGGTTCTCAAGGAGGCAGTGCCAGGAAAACGCACTTGCAAGGGCGTCGTCCTTGTGTTGGACTCCCATGGGGAACGGCAGCCCAGACGGCCACGCCACCCTCCAGCTCGGAAGGGGTGCCCAGCCAGGACAGCCCATCCTTGCAGTAGCACTGCAGCGCTCTGGCCCCTAGGCCCACAGCACCCAGGGTCCGGCAGCAGTGCTGACTGGAAATACTTCCCACTTGCTCTTGGAGAAGATTTGCTAGTGGCAAAGGAGTGTGTCCCTGTCTCTGAGGAGCTCTGCCTCTGACCACAGCCACCGTGCTGTGGAGTGGCAGGGCTGGGATTTGTGCAGCTGCAGCTATTTGAAAAGGCTCTGTTGTAAATAAACACGTGGGGTTGTTCTGGAGAGAGGCATGTGAGGGGTCTCACTGTGCCAATGGGGCAGGGCGCCCTGGAGATGGACAAGGGACGGTGGGCTCAGGGACACAGGGGAGGCTGTGCTGTCCCCACAGGAGGATGAGGTGATGAGGATCAGCCTGGCCGAGCTGGGGGCTCCTCCTCAGCCGTGCCCTGGCCGTGGCATGGGGTCAACCTCACCCCACAGCCTGCGCTGCCCCATGCCCGGAGCAAATAGTGGCAGGAACAGGCCGTCAGCTCCTTCCGCAGCCAGTTGGGTTTTACACCCTGCAGGGCAGGTCCTTGGGCTCAACTCACTCTCCTGAGAGTGGCTCCAACACAGCAGTGTCCCCCGGGCCCAGCCCTGTCCCAGGACCAGCAGAGCTTCCTCGGCGCCTCTAGGGACTGGACGGCTCCCCGCCGGCCGGTAGCTGCCTCTCGGGATCAGCTCCGCAGTGGTTCGTCCGGGCGTGCCTCCCGTAGCGGGGGCACACAGAACGGGGGGGGACCTGCCCCCGGCGACCGGTACTGCAGCCGGGGACCCGCGCACGCGCGGCGGCATCGCCGCTCTGCCGCCGGCCGGGACCGGCGACGCGATAGCGCGGTGCCGCCGCAGTCGCTGCCGCCTCCCCGTGGCCCAAGCGCGGTTCTGCAGCGCCGGCCTCGCGTGGGC